GGGGGCATGACCCCCGTTTGGGGGCGGGGTGTGCCTGCCACTCTGCTCCAGTGCCTGTGGGACAAGCTGTCCCTGAGCTCACACACTTTACCTGTGAACATAAGGGGTGTGATGGTAGCGAACGCAAAGACCACCATCCCGAGGATGTTGAAGGCCAGGCCGATCTCAGCCACCCAGGCGTCTGCGAAGCAGTGCTGCAGGAGCCGCAGGCCCAGCAGGCTGGTGAGGTAGGGGAGGTGCTGGGCTGCAGAACCATAGCCGATCAGCTTAGAGTCCCAGCACAGGGGTGCGCTCAGCTCATAGAGGGTCAGGATATCCTGGGCTCCAAAGTGCACTGTGATCACCACGAAGATGGCCAGTGAGTACAGGGCTAAATGCTTCCTGGACTTCTCAGGGGCCCGAGCCAGGTAGAGCTCGAAGATGGATCGGTGGTGACGGAGGGTGAAGAGCCGGGTGGACTTGGGCTCCTTCACAGTCTCTCCAAAGCAAAATGCTGCATAGAGAGTCATGGCTATTAGCAAGGCCAAGGCCAGCCAGAAGGGGTTGGCATAACCCTGGGCACGGAGCCAGTGGCCCCCCAGGAGGCTGGCCAGCATCCCCGCCACACCAATGCATGCTTCCAGCAGGGCCATTCGGAAGGTGCGGCTGCGGCTGGAGCTGACGTCTGCCACAGAGGCAAAGCTAGCAGCCAGGAGACCATTGAAGTCCCCGAGGAAGGCACAAAGGATGCGGCCCAGCACGAAGTAGCCGACGTGGAGCTGCAGCTGCACCACGAACACGGACACCAGGGCCTGGAGCAGCAGGCCCAGGGAGGCCAGCACGAGCAGCGGGCGGCGGCCCACACGGTCACACCAGGCTCCCAGCAGGGTGGACGAGAAGAGATTCACAAGGAAGCCGCCCACGTTCATGTAGAGGGTCCAGTGGGAGGTGAGGGTCTCCACTTCCTGCGGAGGCACAATCACTAGGGTGCAGTTCCTCACTCTGGGTTGCCCACTCCCCCCCAAACATCGCGATCCGATCCGGGGAACTCCAGGGATGAGGACTTTCTGGGGAGCCCTAAACCTTAGAGAGCCTCCTCTGGGGGGAGGAGGAAAACGGACCGAGGCTCCATTCCTTCTTTACCCCCTTTAGCTCCTGGGCCAGACTTTTCCTAGAGCCGCCTTCCTCCTGCCCACGAGGCAGCTCCGGGTCGGGTCCCCTGCCCTCGGGCGCCGCCCGCCATCTACAGGCATAACCCCCTGCGGGTCCCCCTACCTTTACGCAGGCCCCGCCCCCGCCGCCCCGCGCTGCCAGAGGTACTGTGTGGTCAGCGGACCCTGCAGGACCAAGGCAAAGTTGGCCAGGAAGACCAGCGGCTCCACCAGGCCGCGGCACAGCACGGCCGCCGCCCGGCGGGCGCGGGACTCCCCCGGGGGACTGGCGTGCCCTTCCATGGGCTGGCGCGTCCGGGTTCGCGCGCGACTCGCTGCCGGGGACCAGTGACACCAAACCCGGGCCTGCGCTCTCTGCGCCTGCGCTCAGAGTCCCTCTTTAAATATCTGGAGGGGCGGGGCCTGGAACTCCAGTCCCAACTCTTGCTGGACTAGCTCAGAGCTGGGTGTGGGCGGGCCAGGGGCCCCAGCCCACAGGGTGGCCTCAGCTGTAAATTGTGCAAAGACACCGCCCTGGAGCCCTCCCTCCCAGCTCCAGAAACACTCATAACAATAACAAGAATATCAATAATTAACATTTATTGAGCACTTACTATGTGCTGGTATTAAACTCTGTGTGCATTAATCTTCGGACAACACTGTGGTGTCGCTGCTGTTAACGATCCCAAGCTACAGATCAGGAAAGAGGTCAACGGGCACTCCGAGCACAGCTAGGACACATGACTTTCGAAGCCTACACCGAAGTGGTGTGCAGCCTGAGCCCAGCTGCCCGGGTTGGAATAGCTAGCTGCCATCTTGGGCATGCCCCTTATCTCCCTGTGCCTCTGTTGCTTCATCTGTAAGCTGGGGACACAAATAGATACTGGCTGGAAGAGTTGTTGTAGAAATGCGAAGCGATTTTTCTCCCATGCCAGAGGGTGTGCATGAAAAAAGAAAGTGAGAACCCCTTCATGGGGCCCAGTCACTCCACAATCCCTTTTCTTTGCAATCGTCATCTCTGTCAGGGTCCTAGACCAGCATATCCCCCTGGAGTGCTTTTCGAGCCAACAGGACTAGGCTGGAACCCTGGTCAGCTATGTGGGATCCAGCTGGCTCTGCACAGAGCCTGACCTGTGTCCTGCTAGTCCAGCCCGGAAGTGCTAGTATTGTTATTGACAGGCTGTCACTTGTCCCACTCCCACCCTAGGATCTTTTCTGGATAACTAATCTTGTGTCCGGGGCAAAGGGTCTGATTCTGCAGTTCCTTTAGAGAGGCAAAGGGAAAGGGAAGATGGTGGAGAGCTTGGGAAGCCCTTGGGTGTGGCCCTGGGCACCTGGGAGCTCCCACGGGAGGAACTGGGCCAAAAGGCAACACCTGCCTCTGCTGAGCGGCTCAAACCTGTGTCTAAGCCACGGCCTGGGAAGGGGGATTACCTCTGTTACTCCCCCATCATTATTCCTTCATTTATATTTTCAATGATTGTTTATTTTACTTATTATTATTGGTATTATTTTAATTTGCCATAGGGTACGTGTGCTTACCCGAGAGAGAGAGACAGTGAGAAAGCAAGCCACTAGGTCCGGGACTTGAACCGCAGTCGGCCATGTGAGAGTCCAGTGCCTCAACCACCATGCCACCTCCTGGCCCCTATTGAGCACCTCTTATGTGCCATGCGCTATGCTGGGGGTTCTCGGAACACAGCAGTGAGGGAAGTAGACAAAACCCTCACCAGATCTGGTAGTTTCTAGAATGGTGGGGGTGAGGCAAAGAATCTTACTAACTGGTGTAAAATGCCAACTGTGGAAATGCTTGAAAGGAAAGGAGCAAGGGGCTTCGGGTGTCTAACCCAGGCCTGGCCTGAGGTTGGGGAGGTGGTAGAGAAGAATCAGGAAGGTCGCCTTTCCTGAGAGGGAATGGGGCAGCTAAATGGATTTCTGAAGGCCTGCACCATTGCTCCGCCACCTGATTCTTGAGGTGGTGAGTGGCTCTGTTCTCGACAGGGCCTGGGCTCTGTCCCCCGTCTCCTCTGAGCCAGAAAGAGTCTGCAGCTCAGAATGTATAGGTGCTGCCCACATGCACGCGCACACATGCACACCCTCCGTGGTCTTCCTAGAGGTGGGAAATTCCACAGTGATCATTCGGGTCCCCTGTTGGCTCCCTCCCTTCCCCCCACACACCAAAGCTTGGCCCAGTTAGGTCAGCTGCAGTGAGGGGGATGCCCAGATTCCCAGGAGTGAAATTGCTGGATCGTATGGTCGTTTCTATTTGAAGGTCTTTGAGGAACCCTCATGTTGTTCTCCACAGTGGTTGGACCAATTTTCATTCCCACCAACAGTGTAGGAGAGTTCCCCTTTCACCACATCCCCACCAGCACTTATCATTTTGTTTTTGTTTTTGAGAGGTTTTTGCTATAGGGCGCGTGCGCTCGCCAGAAAGACAGAGACAGAGAGACAGAAAGCAGGAAATCACCCCCCAGTGGGGATGGTCACGCCACAATCCCCTCTCCTCCTTTCTCCTCTCAAGATATTGGGCACACACGCACACGCGCCCGGCATGAGTTTAAGCCACTGGGTCCAGTACTTGAACCATGGTCGACTACATGGGAGTCCAGTAACATAGCCATTACGCTAACTGCTGGTCCCATCTGATGTTTTCTTAAGATTAGGTTCAGGGTACACACTTTTGGTAGGACCCTTAAAGGATCTTACATCCTACCCCTAGTAGACCAAGAGGTATGTGGTAGGAGTCTTTGTCCTAGGGGTGTGGTCCGTGTACAATGTAGCATCTCCAGGTGTTTTTCTTATAAAGTTACCTTTTGTAATTAATACGTGTCTTGGGAAGAGCTACTTTGAAGTTTTATTTGTTTGTTTTTAGTTTAGCTATAGGGCACAAGTCACACCACAGTCCCTTCTCCTCCGTTCTCCCCTCAGGATTTTGGGCACATACACCTGGCATGCTTTTCAAGCTGCCAAGTCCAGGACTCGAACCACTCAGTTGGCTATGTAGGATCTAGCCACATTAGCCTCCTCCATGGCACCGTTTACAGGCCACATTGCTCCTCTAGGGAGGGCCATTTCCAGTGCAAGGGAGATGGGAAACGTAGGTGCTGATGGGAAAGGTGCTAGGCGAGGCAGGGATTCAAACCAAAGGAAGGAAGGGTGGGGCTGGGGGAGGAGGTGTGAGGGGCTCCTCTGGCACAAGGGAAGCCGCTGCCAGAGCAGCCTCTGGGTCCTGGGAGCTCCTGAGGTAAGTACTGTTATCTCTGCTCTACGGCTCAGGAAACTGGAGGGCTAATATGACTTGCTCAAAGACACACGGCCAAAGAGCAGCAAAGCCAGGCTGGCCCTGTGGCCCAGTGGTTATGGGAGCTGGGTCCCACATGGCCAAGTGCAGTTTAAATCTTGACGCAGGCGGCCATACCCAGACTCATGAGGAAGTGGGGCAGGGAGGAGCACAACCCTTTCAGGACACAGAGACGGAGGAGGAGAAGCAGAGAAGCAGAAGGCAAGAGAAGGGCCAGCAGGTGGCACGGAGGTTAAGGTGGCTGGGTTGCATGTGGTGGACCGCACAGTTCAAGTCCCTGACCTGGCAGTTTGAAAATCACACCAGACACGTGAGTGCATGCCCAAAACCCTCAGAGGAGACTGGAGGAGAAGGGCTTGCGGTGTAGCCATCCCCCAGGGAGACTTCTCGCTTTCTTTCTCTTGCTTGCACATAGGTGCCCCTGTAGCAAAAAAAAAAAAAAAAGCAAGAGAAGAGAATTTGCCAGCCAGGGCAATGACACGTTGGGTATTAGAGAGATGCCTGGGGGACTAGGGCATTAGAGGGCGTTAGAGGTCATGAGCAAGCGTTCAGAAGTTGCCGGGGGAAGCAAAGGCACCCCTCGCTGAGGTCACCCTCCGAGAGTCTGTCTAGCAAGATGCAGCTCGTGCTGGGTAAGATGAGCTGTCCTCTCACGGGGACCCAGGTGCCTTCGGGCCGAGCAGGCCCCTTCTCCGCGGCCAGCGCGTTCTCAGGGAAGCGTATCTGAGGCTGAAACCTAGTCAGGGGTAGTGAGAAGACAAAGAGCGGGACCGCCAGCTCTGGTGAGGTGAGTGACAGCCGCGACCGCGCTCCTCTCCTTGAGTCAACCTGTCCAGGCACCAGCTGCCCCCGCGTCCTGATCAGACCCTCCATCCCTGTGTTCTGATACCCCTGAACTGCCTGTCAGAGGCTACACTGGCCCTGAGGGCCCTGCGGGGCAGCGCTGCAGGGTCCCGAGGTGCCCTCTCTGCAGGGAGCTTCTCTGCACTAATGTTTGCTGTTTCGCTGACGTTTCCCCTTACTTTGTAAGACCGAGTGGAAAGGGGGGGGGGACCCTGGGCTGACTCCTGGCTGACATACTAAGTGGGAAACCCCCGAGACCTGGAAGCGATGGGGTTAGGCCACCTGTGAGTGCTCATGCAGTGCGGGTAGGGGGAGGGGAAGAGAAAAGACGCTGAGTCCAAGAGCATGTCTCAAACATGCTGCGAGGGAGGGCTCTAAAGTGATGGCTTAAGGACAGCCTCCACCTGAGTGGAGCACAGGATGGATCACCTCAGGAATACTGGGATGGACTGGAATGTAGAAGAGGGGACACCTGGAAAGATTCTAATAGGATTTCTTTCTTTTTTTTTTTCTGTAGGACACATGTGCTTTCTGGAGCGAGAGATAGAGAGCCCTCCAGAGGGGATGACCATGCCACGATCCCTTCTCTCTCTCAGAATTTGGAGCACACACACACACGCACCTGGCGGGACCTGAATTGCACAGTCAGCTTTCTGGGGTCCAGCCCTTAACCTCCATGCTACCTACTGACCCAGGGTGTCTAATTTTTAAAAAGAAGTGAGAAAGCAAGTGACCAGATTCAGGACTTGAACCACCATGTGGGAGTCCAGCACTTTAACCACTATGCCACCTGCTGGCCCTGAAAAAAGCTTTCAAAAATTACTGTTATTAATTTCCTTGATGCGGGAGAGAAACCGAAAGAGAGGCACTCCCAGCAGGACCTTCGTGCCATGATTCCCCCTCCGCCTTGGCCAGCCTGGATCAAAGGCGTGTATACCCACCTGGTGTGCTCAGAAATGTCTCAGGGCGCAAACCCAGGAACTTTTCTACGTGGGGCCAGTTGTGTTACCTCTGCACCACCATCTGGCCCCTCAAAGTATATATTTAAATGTTTTAAAATGTATATTTTCTTTACTTTCTCTGTTTTCAAAGAATAGACTTACACCACATACACCACTTTCCAAATGTATACCCGAAGTCTGGTCTCCTAAGCCGGAAATAAATTTCTTATGCCTAAGTAACAATGAGAGAATAAGAATTAGGTGGTGGAACCAGCAGGTGGCATGGTGGTTAAG